CTGGCAACGGCGCGGGGCCGGAGCGGCGTCCCACAGTGCCGCCCAGTGTCCCCAGTGCCGACCAGTGGTGTCCCCAGTGCCGCACTGGGCCGGCGGCGACCCGCCCGGGCACGCCCCGGTGTCCCCCGCAGCCCACCCCGGTCTCTTCCAGTGACCTGCAGGGCCTCCCAGCGCCTCCCAGTGACAGCCCGGGGACAGCCCAGTGCCTCCCAGGCACAGCCCTGTGCCTCCCAGTGACAGCCCAGTGCCTCCCAGTGCCCCCAGGCACAGCCCAGTGCCTCCCAGTGACAGCCCAGTGCCTCCCAGTGCCCCCAGGCACAGCCCAGTGCCTCCCAGCGACAGCCCAGTGCCTCCCAGTGCCCCCGAGGGGCAGCCCAGTGCCTCCCAGTGACAGCCCAGTGCACCCCAGGGACAGCTCAGTGCCTCCCAGTGCCCACCAGGGACAGCCCAGTGCCTCCCAGTGACATCCCAGTGCCCCCCAGGGACATCCCAGTGCCTCCCAGAGCTTCCCAGTGCCTCCCCAGGGATATGCCAGTGCCTCCCAGAGCTTTCCAGTGCCTCCCCAGGGACATCCCAGCGGCTCCCAGTGCCCCCTAGGGACATCCTAGTGCCTCCCAGAGCTTCCCAATGCCTCCCAGAGCTTCCCAGTACTGCTCCAGTGCCCCCAGGGACAGCCCAGTGCTTCCCAGAGCTTCCCAGTGCCTCCCAGAGCTTTCCAGTACTGCCCCAATGCACCCCAAGGACAGCCCAGTGGCTCCCAGAGCTTCCCAGTGCTGTCCCAGTGCCCCCCAGGGACATCCCAGTGCCTCCCAGAGCTTCCCAGTGCCTCCCCAGGGATATGCCTGTGCCTCCCAGAGCTTCCCAGTACCACCCCAATGCCCCCTGGGATAGCCCAGTGTCTCCCAGAGCTTCTCAGTGCCCCCCAGAGCTTCCCAGTGCTGCCCCAGTGCGCCTCAGGGACAGCCCAGTGCCTCCCAGGGACAGCCCAGTGCCTCCCAGTGCCCCCCAGGGACAGGCCAGTGCCTCCCAGAGCTTCTCAGTGCCTCCCAGTGCCCCCCAGGGACAGCCCAGTGCCTGCCAGAGCTTCCCAGTCCCTCCCAGAGCTTTGAAGTGCCTCCCCAGGGACATGTCAATACCTCCCAGAGCTTTCCAGTGCCTCTCAGAGCTTCCCAGTACCACCCCAGTCTCCCAGTGACATCCCAGTGCATCACAGAGCTTCCCACTACTGCCCCAGTGCCCCCCATAGACATCCCAGTGTCTCCCAGAACTTCCCAGTAGTGCTCCAGTTCCCCCCAGGAACAGCCCAGTGTCTCCCAGAGTTACCCACTACTGCCCCAGTGGCCCCCAGTGACATCCCAGTGGTTTCCAGAGCTTCCCAGTATCATCCCAGTGCCCCCCAGTGACATCCCAGTGTCTCCCAGAGCTTCCCAGTACCACCCCAGTGCCCCACTAGGGACATCTCAGTGCCCCCTAGAGCTTCCCAGTACTGCCCCAGTACCCCCCAGGCACATCCTAGCACTTCACAGTGACATCCCAGTGCTTCCCAGTACCACCCCAGTACTGCCCAAGGACAACCCAGTGCCTCCCAGAGCTTCCCAGTACCATCCCAGTGTGCCCTGGGATAGCCCAGTGTCTCCCAGAGCTTCTCAGTGCCCCCCAGAGCTTCCCAGTGCTGCCCCAGTGCGCCTCAGGGACAGCCCAGTGCCTCCCAGGGACAGCCCAGTGCCTCCCAGTGCCCCCCAGGGACAGCCCAGTGCCTGCCAGAGCTTCCCAGTCCCTCCCAGAGCTTTGAAGTGCCTCCCCAGGGACATGTCAATACCTCCCAGAGCTTTCCAGTGCCTCTCAGAGCTTCCCAGTACCACCCCAGTCTCCCAGTGACATCCCAGTGCATCACAGAGCTTCCCACTACTGCCCCAGTGCCCCCCATAGACATCCCAGTGTCTCCCAGAACTTCCCAGTAGTGCTCCAGTTCCCCCCAGGAACAGCCCAGTGTCTCCCAGAGTTACCCACTACTGCCCCAGTGGCCCCCAGTGACATCCCAGTGGTTTCCAGAGCTTCCCAGTATCATCCCAGTGCCCCCCAGTGACATCCCAGTGTCTCCCAGAGCTTCCCAGTACCACCCCAGTGCCCCACTAGGGACATCTCAGTGCCCCCTAGAGCTTCCCAGTACTGCCCCAGTACCCCCCAGGCACATCCTAGCACTTCACAGTGACATAGTGCTTCCCAGTACCACCTCAGTACTACCCAAGAACATTCCAGTGCCTCTCAGAGCTTCCCAGTACCACCCCAGTGCCCCACTAGGGACATCTCAGTGCCCCCTAGAGCTTCCCAGTACTGCCCCAGTACCCCCCAGGCACATCCTAGCACTTCACAGTGACATAGTGCTTCCCAGTACCACCTCAGTACTACCCAAGAACATTCCAGTGCCTCTCAGAGCTTCCCAGTACCACCCCAGTGCAGCTTGAGGACATCCCTGTGCCCCTCAGTGCTTCCCAGTACCACCCCAGTACTGCCCAAGGACATTCCAGTGCCTCCCAGAGCTTTCCAGTACCACCCCAGTGTGCCCTGAGGACATCCTTGTGCCTCCCAGTACCACCCCAGTACTGCCCAAGGACATTCCAGTGCCTCCCAGAGCTTCCCAGTACCACCCCAGTGCCCCACTAGGGACATCTCAGTGCCCCCTAGAGCTTCCCAGTACTGCCCCAGTACCCCCCAGGCACATCCTAGCACTTCACAGTGACATCCCAGTGCTTCCCAGTACCACCCCAGTACTGCCCAAGGACAACCCAGTGCCTCCCAGAGCTGCCCCCCCGCTGCCCCCCCCCCCCCGGCCCCCCCGGAGCCGGCTGCGGGGTGCGGGGAGCCGGGTCCCCTGGGGGGGCGGGCGGCAGCTCGGTGGGGACGGTTACCTGGAGCAGCAGCATGGCCACCAGCTTGAAGCCGCGCCGCTCGAAGCGCTGGATGACGTTCCCCACCAGCCGCCGCTGCACCGCGTCCGGCTTCACCAGCACCAGCGTCTTCTCCTGCAGCTCTGGGGGGGCTGCGCGGGGACGGAGGGGCCAGCGTCACCGCCGGGCATGGGACACAGGTCACCACCAGCCGTGGGACACGGGTTGCGGCAGCAGGACCCCAAGCTGCTCCTGGGGCACCACGGGTTGTTGCTCGGTCCCAGTGGGCAGCCCCCAGGCACATCCTAGCACTTCACAGTGACATCCCAGTGCTTCCCAGTACCACCCCAGTACTGCCCAAGGACAACCCAGTGCCTCCCAGAGCTTCCCAGTACCATCCCAGTGTGCCCTGAGGACAGCCCAGTGCCTCTCAGAGCTTCCCAGTACCACCCCAGTGCAGCTTGAGGACATCCCAGTGCCCCCTAGAGCTTCCCAGTACCGCCCCAGTACCCCCCAGGCACATCCTAGCACTTCACAGTGACATAGTGCTTCCCAGTACCACCTCAGTACTACCCAAGAACATTCCAGTGCCTCTCAGAGCTTCCCAGTACCACCCCAGTGCAGCTTGAGGACATCCCTGTGCCCCTCAGTGCTTCCCAGTACCACCCCAGTACCCCCCAGGCACATCCTAGCACTTCACAGTGACATAGTGCTTCCCAGTACCACCTCAGTACTACCCAAGAACATTCCAGTGCCTCTCAGAGCTTCCCAGTACCACCCCAGTGCAGCTTGAGGACATCCCTGTGCCCCTCAGTGCTTCCCAGTACCACCCCAGTACTGCCCAAGGACATTCCAGTGCCTCCCAGAGCTTTCCAGTACCACCCCAGTGTGCCCTGAGGACATCCTTGTGCCTCCCAGTACCACCCCAGTACTGCCCAAGGACATTCCAGTGCCTCCCAGAGCTTCCCAGTACCACCCCAATGCCCCCTGGGATAGCCCAGTGTCTCCCAGAGCTTCTCAGTGCCCCCCAGAGCTTCCCAGTGCTGCCCCAGTGCGCCTCAGGGACAGCCCAGTGCCTCCCAGGGACAGCCCAGTGCCTCCCAGTGCCCCCCAGGGACAGCCCAGTGCCTGCCAGAGCTTCCCAGTCCCTCCCAGAGCTTTGAAGTGCCTCCCCAGGGACATGTCAATACCTCCCAGAGCTTTCCAGTGCCTCTCAGAGCTTCCCAGTACCACCCCAGT